AGGACAGCGCAGAGTTTAGGGCTGTTGTACGTAGGGTCGCTATGAGTTGCAAGCGACTCGACGGCACATAACAACAACAACATTGACCCAAGAGGGATGTAGTCATGGGATATAGACTAATAAGACTAATTTCTTATATAAAAAAGAAAACTGTAAAAATAGTACCAAAAATTTTCCGTAACATTGAATAAGGCATTTTACCACTTGAGGGCTCTGGTGGCTCTGGTAAGGAATGGCACTGCCAGTGTAAAGGTACACTGTTTGAATCCACCAGTTGGTCTTTGGGATAAAGATAGGTAGTCTCTTCTGGGGCAGTTTACTGCCTCTAAAAGCCCGTGGGTCATTTCCACCCAGTACCCTCGATGGTACACAACAGTGAGGATGAGGGGCGATTTCATGTCAGGAAAGGTTGAGGGTCAGTGAAAAAAAGAAGATCCTCTACTACATAGATTGATACAGTGATGATGGCAGTGGGCTTAAGTGTGCCAGGGATGATAAAGGTGGTTCAGGATAGGACAGTTGTCAGATCTGTTATTCATAGGGTCATTTTGATCATACTTGACCTGATGACATTTAAAAAGAAAGTTGAGGTAAAAATTCTTAAGGGTGAGAAAATATGTACCAGGAAAGTTTGGGTATTTTTCTGTAAATGAGTTTCATTGATTTTAAAAGCTTTCCACTCAATGAGCTACCTGTTGGAAACAATGATTTCAAATAATGTAGCTCATACTAGAATGTTTCTAAGGCGACAGTTTGAACGTTAGTCCTGTTTTTTAAAAGATAAGTCTCATTTTAGAATAATTTTATAAAGTGGTCAATCTTTTGCAAATTCATTAATTAGAAGCAAAATTGGAAAATTAGGATGCTGTAAACATATTTTATGTTTTCTTAAAAGGCCCTTGAAAGACTGATTCTTCTTTTTTTATGTGCCATCGAGTTGCTCACGACTCATAGCTACCCAATGTTCATTAGCTCTGAACTCTGCCCAGTCCTTCTTGTTGGTTTGTTATGTGCCATTGGGTCGCCTGCAACTCATAGTGACCCTATGTCCAAGAGCTCTGAACTCTGCCCTCTTCTGAGCCAATCTCATTATATCTGACAGACCTCATCCCGTTTCTCCAGTCACTGAGCCAATCTGTCATATCCTGTGTTTTCCTCTCCTGCACTGTCCCTTTACCCTTCACCCCAAGCATAATGTTCTTCTCCTAGGACTAGTCCCTCCTGGCCATGTGCTCAAAGTATGTGACAGGGAGCTTCAGAATCCTTACCTCCAGGGAGCAGCTTCATTTCATCTTATCCAGGACAAACCTGTTTGTTCTCTTGATAGTCCACTCTTATGTATGTTCAACACTCTTCTCCAGCACTACAACTCAAAAACATCGATCCTTCTTCTGTCTTTCCTAGTCATTGTCCAGCTTTCTGAGGCACAGCAAATAATTGCAAACACCATGGCCTGTATCAGGCACACAGTCTCCAGATTGACATCATTGCTCTTCAGTACTCTAGAGAGGACCCTTACAACAGACTTTCGCAGTGCAATTTGTCTTTTAATTTCCTGTCTGTTGGTACCAAGAGTGTTGATTGTTGAACCAAGCAAGCTGAAGCTGTTAATAATCTCAGTCTCTTCTCTGTTTATCATGAAGCTGATGACTGACCCGTAGTGAGAATCTTTATTTTCTTGATATTGAGCTTCAGTCTATATTGAAGACTTTTGCAGCAAGTGGTTCAGGTCCTCCTCAGTTTCAGCAAGCAAGGTTCTACGTGGGCAACTAACTGGAAGAGATCTATATTTATTACCATTTAAAAAAAAAAAGGTGATCCCACAGAGTGTGGAAATTATCGAACAGCATCACTAGTATGTGGAAGAAGGCTAGGCACTTTTCTCCTGAGTGATTAATTACCTCTCAAAACCTGTTGGAGGGTAAGCTACAGTACAAAACAACTCTTCAGTACACAACAACAACATCACACACAAGCAAGATCCTGCTAAAGGTTATCCAAAAATGACTGGAACAGTACATCAGCAAAGAATTGACAGATGTGCAAGCTGAAGGTGGAAAAGGCTGTGGCACTAGGGACATCCTAACGAACGTTAGATGGATCGTGGCCGAAAGCAAAGAGGACCAGAGGAATGCCCATCTGTATTTCATTGACTATGCAAAGGCATTTGACTGTGTAGATCACGACAAATTGTGGCTAACTTTGAGAAGAATGGGAATCCCAGAACACTTAATTGTGCACACGAAACCTATAATTGGACCAGGAGGCAGTAGTCAGAACAGAGCAGGGAAACATTCCCTGGTTCAAGATCAGGAAAGGTGTGCATCAGTTATGCATCCTATCTGCATACCTTTTCAATCTATATTCAGAACAGATCATTCGGGAAGGTTGACTTTATAAGGAGAAATGATCAGGATTTCAGGAAGACTCATCAGTGACATATGTTATGCCCTGTCCTTAGACATTGGTTATTCTAGTGTGCCTTACTTCTGTGGAGTGATGAAGAGACACTTATTTATTTACTAATTTCCTACAATAATGACATCAGGAATTTGTGGGTTGTTTGGTATAAAACTTTATATGAGGCTTTAAGAATTCTACTATATTCAGATATTGTTTTGAGTAACTGACTTAACTCTCTTTATTCAGTTGATTCATGTTTGATAAAAACAGCACTGTTTATGTTCACTTGTATCATTTAATGAAGCAATAGTTATGATTTTCCTCTAGAAAATTGGAAATTGATTGCTTGGTCAGGAATATAATATTCTATTAAACTATTCTTTTGCTGCAAAATCATTTAGTAGATGCATTTAGTTTCATCTGTAGCACATCCCATAGAAATACAGTCTATATTTTTAGAAGTTCCTCATGCAATGTATGTGTTTTTGATATTGTATTTTTAGGAGAATGTTGACAAAGTAGACTGTGACCTTGGGAAGGCCCACATATCTGTGGGACAGTCCAGAAGCTGTGATGGGAGGAGTTGTAATTATACCCTGTGATGTTTGCATTTTCACCTCTTTCACAGACCACACATCTATGTCCCCACTTTTACACCTGTTCTGTCCAAGAGAAATAATGACCATCTTTATTTCCTTTGATGTGTCTCAAAAGACGATAGATTCCCCTCTGCAAATCTCATTTTCCCACATTCCCTGCCCCAGATTGCTGCATGGTTCAGAGCTTGGATTGAGCTTCTAAAGTCTTTGGCCATCCTTGTTGCTTGATTTTTGAGCATAAATCAGTCTAGCAATCAGAATTCCATTTTTGTTTACAAAAAGATGATAATGTTGTTTTTAGTACTATGTATGATAACTCTGGATTCCTTGCCTTTTCAGCCAAAGATGTAACTTACATATGTCCATTCACTGGTGCTGTACGAGGAACTCTGACAGTCACAAATTACAGATTATATTTCAAAAGCATGGAACGGGTAAGACTTACTATTGGATTAAATGTTTTAATGTATAACTATATATGACCAGTTTTGTTTATATTTTATTAATCCTAAAGAAAGGACTTCTGATTGAGACTTTTTCCTGTGCTGTAATTATGTGGTGTAAGTTGTTGAGTATTAATTGTTTTCCCTTTCCTTCCTGTAGGACCCTCCATTTGTTTTAGATGCTTCCCTTGGGGTGATAAGTAGAGTAGAAAAAATTGGTGGTGCCTCCAGTCGAGGTGAAAATTCTTATGGATTAGAAACTGTGTGCAAGGTAAATTTCAGAATATTTGAATGTTATTTTATCCAATTTGAAAAATTGTTCTTTTGAATAGGATCTGTGTTTGGCCTTTAGTTTTAGAAATATTAAATGAATTTAATATTTTGAATTTCAGTGTAGTGGAGGAAAACAAATAACTTCTAAAAGTATTACAAAGGAAAGTTGACTGTCATATATTAGATTAACTTTTGGGTGGCCGAGTTCATTCTGTGTATTTTTATACGTGCACATACATAGCATTGTCCTTTCTTAAGAACTATCATAAGCGTAAATAGCATAGTACAGGATTCAGAATGCTTTCACATTCTTTTTTTCACTTTGAGCCTCATAAAAATTCTGCAGGATAGATGTCGTCATCTTTAATTTATAATTTAGGAACATAAGCCTGTTAGCAGTGAAGACTTTATGAGTGGACAGCATAGATAGGGTTTATTCATTATTACCTATCTTTTCTAGAGAAAGTTCACATATTTTGAAACATGCTTCTGAAACAATATTGGGCAAACTTGATAGTTTAATCCTTTGCTATTTTCATATCTACTGGCATTCTTTAAAAGTATTGCATTATCTTCTTGGGTGAAACTTTGATTCCATTTGCTACATTTGTACAACTAAATCATAAACATTTAATACTGTATTAAATACTGTATTACTCCCACAGACCATTCTTCTCCTTAACAAATCTCAATTCAAGATATTTTTTACTTTCATTTTACTTTCTGCCTGTTCCAAAAATAAGAGTAATAACAAATGCATAAATCAGAGTGTTAGTTTTTGCTGAGATAGCTATCTGATGCTAAAATCTGTTATATTTCTTAGAAGTTTCATGAATCAAGTGCCAAAGCTAATGACCTACTATTTTTTTGTCCTTTTCCACTATAATTAAAAGAGTGCGGTCAGTCATGTGTTGAGAATACTATCTTCTGATTTTCTTTAGTCTAATAATAGTAATTAGAACAGAGAAAGTAAGAGATGACCATTTTTTAAACTTAACATTTTAAATGTAGTTTTCCCTTTAGAACAGGATTATAAGTAACATATCTAAACATTTTAAGGCCATGCTGAGATGCTTTAGGAAGCTGTGGGTTAAATTGATTCTGAATGCTTCTAGTTTTAGAAATACAACTAGAAAAGCAGGCTTCACCTTAGGTTTATTTAGATTTTTTTTTTTAAAGATTACAAAGCTAACATTCTATTTTTGTACCAGACTTGTAGTCGTAAGTGAATTTATATAGGCCGTTTTTATCCACTCAGGATATTTAATATAAAATTTAATATTTTCAGTCTTGGTGTAGTGATACAAATATTCTCTTGGAAGGCAGTAGAATTATTTATTTTCATGACATGTTGACCACACATTTAATCATTTTTATATAAAGTCTGACATCAGGAATATAGCTGCATGATATTAATAATATGCTCTGGGTTTAGGAGCTAAGGATCATAGTCTCAAGGGACATTAAGGTCAAGTTTCATAACATAGTCCACAAAGACAGTATTTTGTGTTTTACTTGCTGAGTAGCAGTTGGGGTCTTAAAAGTCGTGTGTGATGTCTAGAGTACAGTTATTGCTCTCTCTCCATCTGGAACAAAGAGCAGAAAAGAAAATCAAAGATGCTTGGAAAATATTTGTCCAAAAACTAACAGACCATCTGATCTCCAGCCTCCACCATCCTGACACCAGAAGAACTAGGTCGTTCCCAGCAGCCATTGCCTATTGCTTTGAAAGGAATCAGTCAGTAGGACGTACTAGATAGGGTGGCCGAAAAATGAGGAGTAAAGCTCAAAATCATAAAAAAAAAACCAAACAAAAAATAGCCTTACTGGTCTAGGAGGGACTGGTGGAAAACCTCAAATCTGGCCTTTGAGCCTTTAGTCCTGGTACTGAACTCACTCTTGTGACTTTCAGCAGAATAATAGACAAGATCTCTAAGGTGACTATTAACATCAGCGAAGTATGCTTGTCTTCGAACAGTCAGCCACACAAGATCAGAAAGGCAACATTAATTCAGCGAAAAAGTTGAGAAGAAGACAGGAAGGGATAGGAAAAAAATGACTGGAAAAGAAAATACAGGGAGAAAGTGGAAGAGTGCTGTTATACTGGAGGAATTGCTATCAGTTCTGTGAAACAAAATGCGTATGGATTGGAATGGAAAAAGCAGTTCACTCTGGACATTTTCACTTAAATGACAATAAAAATTTAAAAATGAATGAAAACGAAAAAAAAAAAAGAATATAGCCTCACATTAGCACAGGATATCTGTTGGAAACACTTACTGCTGTGTGTCGTGATGGATTGACCACCACAGTGGGCTTGAGCAGGACAGATCACGAGAACAGTGCAGGAGTGGACAGGGTTCTGACCAGTTGTTCATATGCTGCTATGAGCCTTAGTCGACTCGACAGAGCCTAACAGCAGCAACAACAGTCAGTAGTGAAGTTTTTGTGTTTAGTTTTACAGTATGTCTGTGTTAAAGCCTTTAAATAAAATGTATGTTAGATGCACAGTTAACACTCTTGGTACCAGCAGTCAGGAAATCAAAAAGCGTATCGCGATGGGAAAGTCTGCCGT